ACACAGTCATTTTTTTCAGGGTCCCATCATAATTTCTTCAGAAGTAAGTACTGTATATGTTGTATATGTCCCACATTTTCTAGATTCTGTACCAGTACTGTGTGTAAAATGCCATCAAAAAGTCAATGAAGTGTTATTCTTCCTCACCTTCTGTCTCCTTTCACTTTTTAAAGGTTGCCATGTTAGAAAAAACATTTTGCCCTGCCATGCTGTTAATTGATGTGGTAAATAAATAGTTTATGAAAATATCACTAAATCTGTCAGTTATTATTTTTAATATTCAGTAATGATCATGTCTCACCTCTTAGTCTCCTCTGTCTTAATTTCAGGTTTCCAACATGTGTTGTAGATAGTTCAAGAGGTTAACGCGACCAAGCAGGCTTCGGGTTTCAGCTAAGTACTGTTTAGAATACCAGAATAGGGAGGATGGTGTAGGTTTAAGTTTATTAGACTGATACATATATACCAACAAGACAGTGTACATCACTGTGACAACGGTGTTTGTTTTCATTCAAAGGTTTTTATTATAGTGGTGGGCTGGTCTCTAATCAAAATGCCCAGGCTGATTTTTTGTCCCAGTCCAGCCCTGTATGCAGCTCATCTGCAGTCTGGAATTACCTACATCTTCCTACTCGGAAGGCAGAATTTCCGAGTACCGAGTACAATCAAAAGTACCACGACTGCAGTTTCCGTGTTGGACGTAAAAAGCACACGTGATGCTGTGACGTAGGCTAGAATCATGGCAGAAGTCAACGACGGTCCAGGCCTGGGATTTCTCTCGTGGTAATATGCACATTATTTTTTCCTTTCTGTTGGTAGGTGGCACAGTGCAATTGTGGCTAGACAGTGCTAACATGTAAGCAAGCTAGAAGACTGGCATCCTTGCTGGGTATCCAGTTAGGGAAGCAACTCATCAACACAAGAATTCTGAGTAAAACCAAAGTTACTTTCCCTAGTAACTAGTTACTTTGAAAGTATCGATTAACTTGAAGTAACTGAGTTACTTTTGATAGAAGTAACTGGTAATCTAACTAAGTTATTAATTTAAAATAACTTACCCAACACTGGTTTTCAGTTCTTTGAGTCATATCAAAGTGTTTTAGTATTTGGTTAAAATGCCTTATGAAAAGGAAAAAAGATAAGATCACTGACATCTTCAGTATTCTGAATATTTTTTCATGAACTATAAACTACATTCACTCCTACAGGAGAAAGCCAAGTGCACCAAAGAGAGAGTGGCTCTTTCTGCTACCACACAGAGGTCTCTAGACAGGAAAAAGTAGTAAGACATAGAAATAGAAACACATGTTTTACATTAATGCTGCTGAGATCCAGTGATCAGTGGTGCATGTGGTACTTCTTTAGGGTTGGTGAATCTCCAGCACAGACTAGAAAGATGCAGCAGAAGCCAGATGCCCCGCTACCAACAGGTGTGGGACACGGCTGTGGGATTTTATTACTTTTTAATTCATTTTGTGTTTCCCTCTATGTAATTTCTGGATTATATTCCCCAGACGTTATTTACATACATTTAGTATCCCTTTCCTGGAATCTTGAAGCCAAGCCAAGGACAAACAATTTGTGCCCCCAGGACAACTTAATCGTCAGGGGCAAGTCTGTACTGGTCCAGATTGTAAAACAACTTTATAACACAACCATTTCCTGAAGTCATTTTCTAGATAATCATTCTTTCTCAGTGCATTGGACACCAAGATTTAAATGTTTTTTTCTATTAATTAATTAGAATTGTAAAATCATTTGTCACATATTAATAAAAGTAGCAGTCTTCAGACACACCCTGCTTTTGACTTAATTAAAGTCACCACAGTGTGACTTTTTTCTCTTAGGAGCTGGTACAGAAAGACCCCAGAGGAGAGGGTGAAGCGCTCGGAGAACCTGAAGAAGCAACACTCGCTGGGCTAATTCATGACAAAACATGCCCCGACCTGTGACCTGCTAACCACATGATTGTCCTTCAGTTAGCTTTGGAAATTCACATGAATGTATTCACACACAAAAACACGATCACAGCGCTGTTGGTTTCTGTTGGTCACTGTTGCTACTCACCGAAATTATTAGTTTCAACAGCTGATTGTTATGATGAAGAAAAGAATAAGTAGCTGTAGTTAAATGTAAGCCACAAGAAGCTCAATTGAAAACACGTAAAACATTTCTGTGCCTGAGTACTCTGCCTTTGTTGTCTGTCATGTTTTAGCATGCATATATTTAATATCAAGTGCTTATAGCTGTAAGTTGCACACAGACAGTCACATAATGTAGTTGTTCTGAAAATACAATATTTTAATGTATATGATTTATTCCTTCAAGGGCTTTAATTACCAGTTCGTGCATTGTTTTGTTCTTTATGCTAAGTGTACTATAAAATGTATAGTACTCTGAGTCTGACTCTGAGTCGTATCAGGGTGTTTTAGTATTTGGTTTAAATGCCTAATGAAACGGAAAAAGGATAAATATCTGTGTTTACACTCTGGCATGCTGTTACATTAATGTAGCTTCACACGACCACAGATGCACAGCCGGCATTCAGTGTGGACTTTGTTTCAGAAATGACTGAAGAAAAATAAATTTACAAGACCAAGAAACAATATAAGACATTTTAATGAAATAGTATTTCTTTTTTTTTTTTTTTTTTTTTTTTTTTTTTAATTTTAATCATCCTTTGTCATTTTTTTTTTTTTTTTTTTTTTTTAATAAATAGGACAGGGGGAATGAATGAGAGAGAGAGGGGAAGAGAAAGAAAGAAAACCAAAGGGGAGAAGAGACTGTGAGAAGGGGGGGGAAGAGAGACAAAAAAAAAAAAAAAACTCCTGGGTCACCTGTATGGAGAAAAAACAAACAAACAAACAAACAGACAGAGGAGACAGCAAACAACAAAGAGCAACATAATAATAGAGAAAACAAAGCACCATCACAATAAACTAGCTAGTCATAGATATCAGTATTTACTAAGTAATAAACGATATTGTGCAGCACGCAAGATAGACAGCGCACAGTGTGCTTTGAGGCAGCAGCCAAGAAAGCTTTAGTCCGCGTCTGTGAATACCCATGTGTGCATACCTGTGTGGATCAGCATGCTTGCATTCCAAAGGTTTCTCCATGTAATGATCTGCTAGGGAGTGTGGGGGGGCCACAGCCCCGTCCTCCAGGGTGTGAAGCGGGTATGGAGGAGATCAAAACTCCAGACATCCAGAGGCCCCCAGAACACAAGAGACCATGGAAGACCAACAGAGGGGCAGCCGCGCCACTGTCCCAGTAAGAGCTGAGGAGAGTCCCAGATGAGTATTTCTGAAATATTGTGTGAACTGATGCGTTCACTGCAGCACCACGCTGACTTCATATTTGTGCACTTGTAGCATTCAGCATTGATGTTTTTCTCCCACATTGCTGTGTGTGTCTTTTAAAGGATGATTTATTTCATTTAAAATGTCAGATTGTCTTTTTTCTTCAATGTCCAGAATAAAATCTGAAATTATTTAAATTTTCATGGAATTTAATTCATGATACAGTTAAATTATAACCTAGCTAAACTAAGCTAACTATAACTTAGCCATAAGTTTTTGACATGAGCTTCTTTTCTGTTGTTTGCTTTACCGATGTTTCATGACCCAGTAAATACGTTCAGCATGGTTTCAAACAAGGATCCTACTTAGATATTAAATTCTCGCCTATGATAAGGTAATAAAGCCACATATGAACAGCGGTTATGTTTATTTTTCAAAAATCTCTAAAAATAATTTACTGTATTTACACAAACTATGTAAAACATCATAAATAAAATATAATAAGGACAAAAATAAAATACTAATATACAGAAAAGGTCCTTAGTTTTAGATTGTAGAATAATTTTTGTGTAGTGTTTAAAACTACAGTAGTGTGAAAACGTATTTGTCACCTAGCTGATTTTCTTTTTTTTTTCTTGTACGTTTGTCACATTTTAATGTTTCAAATCCTCAAATGGGGCATTTAGGAAGGAACGCTGGTTTGAATGGGGAGTCGAGGAGGGCATTTACGTGAAAAGGCAAAGATCATCTCTGAATCGAGGAGGGGGAATAAGGGTACATCTTTCGCCATCTTACAATGCTGTGATTGTAGACATTCCCAAAGTCTGTGATTGGTACTCAAGGCAACTAATCAATGGTCATGACAATTTGCATATTAATGATCAAGAAACTGACCTCGCAGTCCATTGTTTATTCAGTGGGCTAGTTTCAGTCCTTGTGCAATGTGCTGTTTATAAGGTTGGAGAAACCTGCAGTCAGCTGAGACTGAAGAAGTCACTTGGATAAGGATGTTTCTCCCTCTGACGCTACGTCCAGATGAACAGAATCAACCTTTTGGGACCTTCATTTAGAAACTCCATTTTGTCTTTACTAGTATTATTTTTGTTTGATTTTTAAATTTGTTTGCTGTTCTGAAACACTGAAGTATGACAAACAAGAAAATAGGAAATCAGGAAAGGAGTAAACACTTTTTCACACCACTGTATGTTTGTCACGCAATGCAATCAATTTTTTGGTGATTTTAGGGTAAAAAGATCTGGGTTAAAAAAACAAAACAAAACTGTTTCTATCTAATGATTACAATAAATATTTGCTTGCACGTAAGATTTATTGAACAGTATACAATATCAAATGCATGCATTCTTTTAGAATCAGTACAGATAAGGAAGCAAGAAAGCTAAATGATATACTAGCTGCATCACAGTGTGCTGGATTAATTAACATTTAAATGCTCTATGCAACAATCTCAGTTTTGTTAATCTTTTTCTTCAACAACTGTATGGTCACTTAAAATTATGAGATGTAAATATCTTTGTATCACCAGTGTAATAAAGGAAGCACCTTAGTACCTTTTTGTAATGACATTACCAAGGTTACAGGAAACATGACAGTAAATGCTAAACGTGAATGAACTGTTTCATGAAGAAATAAAGTATGGTGGGTGGAAGAAACACGAGAGAATTACTGAAGACAAAATCAAAACAGGAATTTAACAATATGCACAGAAGTAATTAAAATTTTAAACATTTAACGTAACAAAAAATAACAAAGAAACAACCTGAACCTAAACTCAAACTGTAATATATTCACCAATAATTCCAAACCCAGAAAAAGCAAAATGGCAGGGAGATGACAGAAGTAGCTGATGATTTCCTGCAGCTTTACTTAGAGCCATTTCTCACTATTTGTCATGTACACATATTGTATAACTGCAACAAACAAGTATTTGTCATTAGAACTGTGATGTAAAATTGGTACCTTTTCAGTGCTGGATGAGGCTCAATGTTTAACTGATAAGCACTTACATTAAAATAAATGTTCCCGTCCCAATGAACCAACAGTATACACGTCAACTTAAAACATTAAATTATGATATTTAAAACAAGCAAAAAAATCAAAATGCTTTTGGAAATTGTAATCTCAGACTCTTACAATTAAAACCATAAATCTCAGGTTTGAATGGAGAATGCATTACATGTCTTCACGCTCTGCTATAAGGGATTAAAAACTACAACAAATTTTTAAAAAGAAAGAAATCAAAACATGATTTAGACACTCGTGATTAACACCTTAATATTAGCAGTTTTAATTGATATCTATAATATTCAAGATGCTTTTTGTATAAAATTCATTAAAAGGTCAAAAGTACACATAAACACAACATTAAAAGAGAGCAAAACAAATATTACTGTGATAATATGTAAAGACCTCGTGTCTCTAATCAGTGTTTCCTCAGGGATGTCCTGTGGGTTATCAGGCCTCAGCTGTTTCTGTGGAGCAAATTAAAATGGGTGCTGGATGGATCAGTTAAATTTAAATAAAAACCAGTGCTGTCACCGTTAATCTCGTTAACGTGAACCGATCCATGTTAACATGTCAAAACTGGCAAATCCCTGTTAACGAGTTAACGAAGATTAGTCCTTGTGAGGGGTTACTCGGCATTAGCGTGTTCACGCAGACGCTTTAACGCCGTCATCACGACTAACACGATTAATAATTAACTCATCTGGAGAACAGACTGACTCAAAATCCTCTGAATGTTTCTATCAACGCATTTCAGGCAGTTTGTCCGAAATTTGTCTATTCTGCACTACAGATGGGTTGAGTGCATTAAAAATGTTTATCGTGTTAACTTTGATGACGTGTATTAACATGATTAATGCTAACAGCACTAAAAACATTGTTCAAAATGATCAGAAAAATAGTTCATGATCACAGCCTTTTAAACAATTTGTGACATTTTAAGATTTACCCGGTGTGGTTACTTTTTTTCATCTTGATCGCCATTAAGTTCATCACAGTGTTTCTTCACCATCTCAAGATGTTCCAAAACATCTAAAAACAAAATATTTGTTTTTATTAAATATTTATTGTTAGTGTTTGTATTGTGAGGATTCCTAACACTTTATATATTCTGTTTACCTGGCAGTGAGCAGGCCTCAGTCTTGAGTGAGTGTTCAATGGACTCCTCCATGGTTTTCTTCAGCGTCCTCAGGACAGTTTCCTAATTTATCATCAAAGCCTTTGTTACTTTTTAAATAGGCAACTATTGAATCCAAGAATAACTGGACAAGAGATAAATTATTGGTTTGATATGTTTCAAGACTGCTTGAAAAAAAAAAAAAAAAAAACCTTCAAATCGTTCAACTGCTCCAACATGGCATTTTTTGCCTCTTCAAACATGTACTTCTTTGACTCCACATGTCTCTCAATAGTGTCCCTCATCCTCTTCAGGGTGCCTGGTCCTTCAAATGCTGCTGCTTCTACAAGGAGACAATCATTTTCATGCACAGTTGAATAGAAATACCGAATTTTTCTAACCATAAGGCGCATCGGATTATAAGGCGCATTAAGCAAAACAAAACAGTAAGATAAGTCAAACTTTACTCAACTCATTCTTCTTGCTTCCTCCACTTCCGTATGTGAAATGTGAAAATGAAAATTACCTGAAGCGCCTCAATGCTATGCTTTATATTAACCAAAATGTCATATAACTGTATAGTGTAGTATTAAGTGGACACGGCCCTGATAATAAAGGCATTAGACTACGTGTCCTTTAGTGGTAGAAAGTTGGAGACTCTCGCTCACACTTGTCTGTAGAAGTAGATAACAGGGAATCATCTCTCAGTGGAAATGTACTAGAATACTGTGGTTTAGACTAGAGTGAGACAGACTGTAATAAAACTGTTAAGCGCACACTGCCATTTGGAGATTCACTGCAGTGTCATGTAGGACGCATCTCCCTTCTGGAAGTAATAAAAGTGTAAAATGGTCTAGTGAGCAGTGAGTTGTCTTCCATTAGATGCCTATGAGGAATCGAAAGAACTCGGTGAAGTGTTGATATTTAACACGTACCATTGATTCATTATTGTTGAATTCTCTCACAGCTGCTCTATTCCCATGTTGTTGCACTATATTAATGACTAACCTCGTATTGTGGATGGATTATCTCAGCTGTTCTCCTGACTGAAGTTTGGTCCGTTTACAGCATCTTGACTTGTGAATGCATTTCTCCCTAATCATCGGGAACCTCCACATTAACTTTCATCGAGTGGAAAAAAGTTAGCATTCATCCTCCAGCTTCACTGTGTTTATGTTATGCAAACATAGGTATGTTCCTAGCGATTACGTAGCACATCATTATATACCAGCTAGTCCAACTTCAGTGTATAAAAGGCTCTGAGATTTTATGTCCTGCAATATTGTTTGGGGTGGAGTTGTGGGAAATGACATAGGCAGAGGTTTGAGGTACTGCACTGCTGCTCCAGAAGGGAAGATTGTATTTCTGAGTTAGTTCTGTTACCTCCTCGTGTAAGTTTTGTTCCTGTTTGCCATTCTTCACCGTGATGCTCCGAGTGTTCAGTTCATGACTAGAAGTAAATTTCCTTAAATATGTTATTTGGCATGTGCCACTGGCTGCTGCCATTATGTAGTAGTTTATTTGGCCACACGACGGCACCAAAGTTCCTTGTCAATGGTTAGGGTGAATGTTTCTGCTTATAGTATCGCATTACCGCTGTGCTTAATTGGAGTTATTATATATTATGTCATGGACGTATTTATATGGATGTGTTGGTTTATTTCATTGGATATTTTTGAGTTTATATTAGTTTAGCTGCTGCTGTAATATATTCGGTCTCATGGCAATTTATTTGTTACTACAGACTGCTGGCAACACTGAGCATCTAGTTGGCAATAAAACGGACGGCGGTGACAATCCAGCAAAGTGGAAGTGTCTTGTCCTCCTTCCTGTATCCTGACCGATACACCATCTTGTTAGCTGTTGAACCTAAAAGAACTAGCCCTCACCTAACACTTCTCAACATTCAGTAACCCTACAAAAGTCACTGCTGTTTAGTTTGCTCTCTTCATTTATGTCTGAAGTGATAGCAGAGCTATACGTTTTGATTTTTTCAAAAATCTCTCAGTCAAAATATATATGTGGTATATCGTATTTAGATGGAAACTAGTGAGCTAACTTCCTGCTAACTTCTAACTCGGTTAAATTTAATAAATTGTGTTTTCATGGATGTCTGGATGTTAAACGGATTACGACTGGGATTATTCTGCGAGGCTGCTGATTATGGTAGCCGTAATGTTCCGACAATCCATCAAGCGGTGCGGCTTCGTAGCTTACCAAAGTAGTACTAAAACATTTTTGACAGATTTTTGAACGCTGTGTACCACTTAAAATCAATTCGAGGTCAGTAGGCATAACCAGAATTCATACATAGGGCGCACCGGATTATAAGGCCCACTGTTGATTTTTGAGAAACTAAAGGATTTTAAGTGTGCCTTATAGTGCGAAAAATAAGGTAATTCACCTCTTTCTTACCTTTGTAGCATCCTTTCATGTTACTCCTGATTGTCTCTGTCAGACTGTTGTAGATCCATTTCTTTTGTGTGAGGATGGTTTTGTTGAGCTTTGTCTTCATTTTTTTTCCTTAGAGACATGAAATACGGATTAACATTATTTAAAACAACATTAAGGTAAAATAACTACAAGTTCAGTGTTTGAATGACTTTCTAATAATAGCTAAGCTAACAGGTTCATGGATAGGGAAGTTCTTTTACCTCGGTCTGGAGAAATGTCAGTTGCAGTTCGACATTTTTGTACTTTTCAATCAGTGAATCAGTGCTGAGTGAAAACGCATCAATGGCCCCATTGAAATTTCCACATTTTAGGTCGTTTCTGAATGGGGCAAAGATGTGGTTTATAATAGCAGTATTAGCAAGTTTATGATATAGTGCAATTTGGATACATGTATTGTTGTACATATTGGTGCTGTTCAGAATTAGATTATTCTCACGGGAAGGTCTTTCTGAATTTTTCATCAATGCTTTCAGTCAAATAAGACGCTAATATCATGTTGAGGTTTTTAGGTTTTCCTTTCTTTGGTTTCTGGATGCCATCATTCCTAACTGCAGACTTTAGTGTCTTGTGAAAAGATCTGCCACTTGTTTTCTGAAACAAAACAGAATTTTTATTTAATTTTTTTAAACACATGGTCACAAAGTATCCTGAGGTTTTGATCCTGTAATTAAAACACATACACTGGGGTGCAAGAAGGACCTCAGTTTTCTTTCACATAAATTTTGGGATTTTTCAACTCCCTCACGTAGGTGTTGTTCAAAAGCTTTTGTAATATCTTCAATTGCTTTTTTGACTCGATTATGTTGGATGCTCAAGTTTCCCTCAAGGACTGCACACACCTCGTTTTTTTGTTCAACCTGAAAAAAAAGAAAGATCATTATTTAAAGCAGTAAAACATCACATAATGGTTCTTTACTCATTTTTGAGGCGGTCTTGAGAAACCCAGGCTTTTAACAGGAATCTCATGCATAAGTTCAGTCAGATAGGTCTGTCATCATTTGTCTGCCTCTGTCTATTCGTTATGTCACTTCCATTTTTCCACACTATTGAACTCATTACTCTAGTCTGATCATTTTTTGCCTTCTGCAAATCAATCATCCTCTGTTCTCTGTGCTTTTATATGATTTTTTGTCATTCTGCCTTTCAGACTCTCATTCATGCAACTTGCCCCCTCCCCAACTTCACCTCAACCTTCCTGCGGTCACTCAGAGCACCATCCAAACTACCATCTTCACTACCCCAAGAATCTAGACTCTGGGAGCCTGTTCTAACTCCCATCATTTCTGTGCTCTCATTGGTTCACTGGAGTCTCATTGGTAAATAACTATTTAATCAAATTCTGTATCTCAATAATTTTCAGTTCTTCCAAATAATCTCTCTCCTTTCGATCACTAATAATAAATTACCACATATAGATTTATGATGTCCAGTATCCCACATTTTCAGTGAAGGTCAGCATGTCTTACAATATATGTTAGTAAACTTTAGTGAACATTTTATGAACATTTTTATTTTATGCATTTTTATGACCTTTAAGGAGATTATGAATGAGGCTTTATTGCCTGATCTTACCACTTCTCTGCTTCTGGCTCCTTGAATCAAAGACAGAATCCCATGAGCTCCAGACACATAGTTTGAGGTCTCTGAATGAGCGTCATTTAGATTTTTCAAAATTTCCTTGAGTTTCAGTATTTCTGTTATAAATTGAAAAAGAAATATAAATCTGAGCAATACATTTTCTGTTACACAAAAACATACCATCACTGGTAGTGACTTCACCTACCATTGACATCTGGATTTACATTCTCCCCTTTGAGGAACTCTTTGGTGCTCACTGTGAAGACTTGGAAACTATCCTCACTGAAGTGATTCTGAGAACATTTTTGTTAGTCAGTTTTTATTTTTGGACCGTTTAAGAAAATAATTGTTTTAGATTTTGCTGTCAGATTGTAAATTTACCGTAATCGTTTCCCGCTTTTTGAATGCATTCATCACTGCTTTCTTGACTTTGTTTCTTTTAGAAAGGAAATAAAAATTGGATGTAAAAGTAATTTATTGTTAGTATTGTAATGGAAAATTTCAATTATTCTTATTTAAGGTTCAAGCATTTGTGTGCATACTTAGTTGTGGCACTGTAATGAAAACTTCCACTGAGCAGTCTAAAACTAGATGAACTTATTTCAGCCTCAGTAGTTGAAAAAATAACTCCTTTTGCAGGTGGTCATAATGCCAAGAGCATGAACAGGATACGCATTGTTCAGTTAGGTTTCAGAGCGAGCTGCGTCATGTGCTGTATGATCACTTTCGGACTTCCTCACTTTTTTGGGGAATAAATAAAGGTGAGAGCTGCACTTCTGTTTCAGAGACTGCATGACGGCGCCTGACTGTGTGTGCTCTCTCTCATGCGCATGATAATAACGAATGTTCATTACAGCCGAATGTGTCTGTGGAATTAAATTAAATTTCCACAACAGTATTTATCTAATTAAAAACTTATTATGCTGCCCTCACGACACGTGACCCTGTGAGGTTAGACAGCTAGCGAACAAATAGAAGAGGTCTTCCACACAAGGCTTGACTTTCTTGTTTTTATGTAACTAGAACATGAGGAAAAATGAAAATGAATCGCTGGTTAACACACATCTTAATAACAACTTGCCGATTAGCCTAGCTTAACATGTACATTACATCAGCATACAGTTCGCTCCATGTAAACACACATAACGACTGTCTCTACACATGTCAATACTCACAAAGACGAACGTTTTCCGAGGTGCGAACGTGTAGAGCACTCTTAGCGTGAACATGAACTAGTCCCTATTTAATAACTGCCGGAGCACTTTTTCACGACATCATAAGCGAAAGGGTACATCAAAGATAGGTTAGTGAACAGGACGCTCCCTCGCTCCATTTCCGCACATAGGATACAAAGATCTCTTGTGGAAATGATGTCTCACTCTGAGCTTATTTATCACTCTGCTTATGTGGCTCAATCAGCACACACACCAACCGCTGACTTTTGACTCAAGGGCATAACACTCCCCGCTTGATATACACACATTATATCACAATAAACATCAATACAACATATTCAAACATCATCTAGCATTGAAGAATATTCATTCAGTCTCTGCAAGCAAAACAACAATCTCTGAAACTGGTCTGAGAAACATTTTAACAGTCCCATCTTTTACAGTCCGCACTTCCACTTTTCGGACCTTCTTGTCGCTGCTGGGGAATGTTTTTACTATTAGTCCCATGGGCCATTCGTTCCTGCTGGCTTGGGGGTCCTTTAGCAGGACCACATCTCCTATTTTGACATTAGGTCTAGTCTCTGTCCATTTTGCACGACCTTGTAAGGTGGATAAATACTCTCCCTTCCACCTTTTCCAAAAAGTGTCAGCGAGGAGTTGAACATGTTTCCATTGTTTCCCAAACAGCTGCCCTGATGAGAAGTTCCCAAGTGAGGCGGACACAGCACTCATCTTCTGCGTTAGTAGCACTGCTGGAGTGAGTACTGCAGGACTGTCAGGGTCGGTGGATATGGGAACAAGAGGCCTTGCATTAATAATTGCCATCACCTCGGCCATGAAGGTGCACAACACTTCATGAGTAAGACGTGTTTGTTCAGTTCGTAACAACATTGCATCCAGAATGCGCCTGGCAACGCCTATAAGGCGCTCCCACGAGCCTCCCATATGAGACGCATGAGGGGGATTGAAAGTCCAAACACACCCTCTCTCTTGCAGGTACTTTCCTACTGCTTTGTTTCCTGAGTTTAGGTCTAATTCCTTACAAGCGCCCACAAAATTCGTGCCTCTGTCCGAGCGCAGAAACTTGGCCGGGCCCCGAATAGAGAAGAGCCTTCTTAATGCATTGATAAAACTATCAGCAGACATAGTCTCTATCAGTTCGATATGCACAGCCCTAGTTGACATGCATGTGAATAACACAGCCCAACGTTTGTTCTGGGAACAACCACCTCTTGTACGACGCGTCACAATAGTCCATGGCCCAAATACATCTAGGCCTACAGTGGTAAAGGGTGGTTCAGGGGTGACTCGGTCTGCAGGCAAGTCTGCCATTTTCTGGATCTGCATTTTGCCTCGCAACTTGCGACATGTGACACACCGATGAATGACAGATGACACAAGCCGCTTCCCTCCAATTATCCAGTACCCAGCACCACGGATAGCTCCTTCAGTTATGTGTCTTCCTTGATGAGCCACTCGTTCATGATAGTGAGTTACAATTAGCATGGCGATGTGGCTGGTAGATGGGATAATCAGAGGGTGCTTTTCATTCTCTGTGAGATCGGCAGCGGAAAGACGTCCACCGACTCGTAAGAGACTGTCTTTGTCCACTACAGGATTGAGCTTTTTGAGTGCATCAAATATGCCACTGACCTTCCTTCCTTTTTTAATGTTTTCAAGCGTCCCTTTGTAAGCTTCTTGTTGGACGGCTCGAATAATGACTGCTTGGGCTCGGGTGAGTTCTTGGACGCTCGGTGTCTCACTGAAACCTTTCCATCCCCTTCGCCCACTTGTCTTTTGTGCAAAGGATGTAACTACATGAATGAGTCTGGCTATGACTCTGCAAAGTGTGATCCAGTTTGAGTACTTTTTGAAACGGTCAGAACCCAACTGTGGCTCTGCTACAGTAGTTTTCATTACTTTTATTTCCGGATGTATCTCTCTGTCTTTTTCAGGTTCGATGAGCGTGAAAGGACCAGTGTGTGGTTCTGTGTGTGGGTCAGAGTACAGAAAGGGTGGACCTGAGAACCAGGTACTGTTCTGCAGGTCTGCTGCTGGAATGAACCGAGTGGCCTGGTCAGCTGGATTTAACTCACTTGGTACATAATGCCATTGACTCGGATGGGTGGATGCTCTAATGCGCGTAACCCTGTTGGCAACATACATGTAGAATCGTCTGGAGGTGTTGTGTATGTACCCCAACACAATCCTACTGTCTGTGTAAAAAGTCACATTGTCTACTTTAATGTCTAACTCGTCTCTGATGAGCTCAAACATTTCCACCGCGAGCACAGCAGCACATAGTTCCAGGCGTGGTACAGTGTGTGCGGGGCGGGGTGCGAGTTTAGACTTCCCCATCACAAACCCAGTATGACACTGTCCTTCACTGTCAACTGTACGCAGATAGACTACTGCACCTATAGCGACAGTGGAGGCATCACAGAAATGCAAAGTTCTTTCGCTTTCGTTGTGCTTAACGTACCTGGGCTGTAGCACCTTGGTATTTGGAGGTTCTCAAGGGCTTGCAAAGAGTCTTTCCATAAGTCCCACCTCTCCTGTTTCTCAGGGGGTAAGAGTGTGTCCCAGTCTTTTCCATCAGATGACAGTTCCCTGAGTAATGCTTTGCCCTGCATTATTATGGGAGCAGCAAATCCCAAAGGGTCATAGAGGCTATTAACTGTCGACAATACTCCCTCCGTGTGAATGGTTTGCTCTCATTTGACACCTGGTAAGTGAAGCTGTCAGATTGTAGGTTCCAACAGAGTCCCAAGCTTCTCTGAACTGGAAGAGGGTCTACTCCTAGGTCTAAATCTTTCAGGTCCTTTGCACGATCCTCAACAGGGAAAGCTTCCATGACTTGACTGCAGTTTGATGCCACCTTGTGGAGGCGCAAGTTAGACTCTGCCAACATGTTTTGCGTTCTTGTGAGCAGGTTGATTGCTTCCTCTGGCGTGGCGACTGATGTGAGACCATCGTCAACATAAAACTGACGCTCAACAAACTGTCTTGCATCAGATCCGTGTTCTCGTTCACCCTGCTGTGCTGCCTGTCTCATGCAGTAGATGGCGACAGCTGGTGACAGGCTGTTTCCAAACACGTGGACCTTCATTCTAAACTCGACTATGCTCTTTGTAATGTCATTGTCCTCATACCACAGATAACGCAGATAATCTCTGTGGTCTTCGCGCACAACGAAGCAGTAAAACATTTGCTGCACATCGGCTGTCAGGGCTATGGGCTCTTTGCGGAAGCGCAACAGCACTCCCAATAGGGAGTTGTTCAAATCAGGTCCGCCAAGAAGCACTTGATTGAGCGAAATTCCATCACATTCTGCGCTTGAATCAAACACGACTCGTATTTGTTGTGGCTTCTGTGGGTGGTATACCCCAAACGTGGGCAGATACCAATGTTCTTTATTTAGTGGCAGAGGAGGGGCAGGCTCGGCTTGGTCGTTATCCAACATTTTCTGCATGAATTGGATGTAGTGATCTTTCATTTCTGGTCTCTTTTCCAAAGTCTTTCGAAGAGAGCAGAGGCGTTTTAGGGCTTGTTCTCTGTTGTCAGGGAGCCTCCTTCTCTGTGAGCGAAAGGGTAAAGGTGCAACCCAGCTGTTCTCTTGGTTTTGATAAACTTCACTGTCCATTATTGTCAGGAATGCTCTGTCGTCGATAGACATGGCTTGTTTGTTATCACCCTCAGATCTAACAAACACAGAGTGTCCCAAATCGTCTGTGATGCAGGTTGCATTCATAGTGACCCCATAATTCTCTTTAACGTGAATTGTGTTTGGGCAAGGCTCAAATAGGATGCACGTCCATTATCTAAGGTGTGTGTTTTATAGACATTGACCTCTGACTGACTGTGCACTTTTCCTAGACACACCTCCCCCACAATAACCCAACCCAGGTCTAGCCTTTGGGCGTATGGTGCATCATTGGGTCCGTTGATTTGCTCACGTACCTTATGGACCCTGATGACGTCCCTTCCAAGGAGTAAAAGGATTGGGGCGTGGTGGTCGACAGGTGGGATGTTATCTGTCACTGGAAGAAGATGTGGGTGATGCTGGGCAATCTCTGGAGAGGGTATTTCAGATCTATTGTCTGGAACAGAGTCACATTCAATTAAAGGGGGTAGCTGGATGTTGACTTCTCCATCCAAGGACTCGAGGAAGAAGTTTACAGCTCTCCTACCTAAGGCTTGTTCTCTGCCAGAGCAAGTCTTTAAGGTGTATGGAGTGGGTTTGGCATTGATTTTGAAAAGGCTGAAAAACTCTGACTTAACCAGTGACCTGTTGGACTGATCATCTATTACTGCATACATTTTTATAGCTCTCTCTTTTTGGCCTGCGGGATACACTTTGACCAAACTGATCTTAGAACATGAACGTGGGCTATCACCTTGGCCACATACCTCTGTGCACTTCGACTCGACTGAAGGTGAGCTCTCGATTTGCTCTTCATTGTCGTTGTTTCCTGGTGTAGTACTCTTAGGGGCAAGAGTAGGACCAGGATGCATTGCAGATAAGTGTTTGAGGCTGTCACATTCAATACACTTAACCATTGCTTTACAGTTTTTTGCAATGTGTTGGACAGACCCACAGCATCTGTAGCATATGTGGTGCTCTTTGAGATAGGCTTGTCTTTCTTCAATAGGTTTGTCTCTAAAGAGCTTACACTTTTTGAGTGGATGTGGTTTTTTGTGGATTGGGCACTGGCGATCCGGTTCCTCCATTTTCTTTGGACTGAGATTATTCTGGTCCGGCTCTGCCGTAATGTCCATTTTGTGTGCTGACACAGTAGGTTTGCGACTATATGACCTCAGTTTTTCTGTGGGAGAAGGGACATGGGTGTTGGCCTTGGACATAGCAAAGCTTGGGTCATTCCTCATTTTCGCTTGCCGCTGGACAAATTGTGTGAAAACTGAGAAAGGAGGAAATGACACACTATGAGTCTCCTTGTACTGTGTTCCTACAGTTGTCCACTTTTCCTGTAGGTTGAAGGGAAGTTTTTCCACTATTTGCCTGACTCCTCTAGCTGTGTCCAGGTAAGCAAGTCCTGGGAGCGCGCCATCTTGTTTAGCACACTGAAGCTCCAATAAGATGTCACTAAGTTCCTGCAGCTTAACATTGTCTTTGTTTGTGAGTTTGGGAAAGTCCTCTACCTTTTTTAAGAGTGCGTCCTCAATAGCCTCAGGTGAGCCGTAGCACTCTTCAAGGCGTTGCCAGACCATCTTCGCACCTGCAGCAGGATTGAGGGTGTGTACAGCACGAATGCGCTTAGCCTGTTCGGATGATGTTGGACCCAACCATTTTGTTAGCAAGTCTAATTCCTCTCTTGGAGACAAATTTAGGTCTTTGGTTGCGCTGATGAATGAGGTTTTCCATGCCCAATAGTTTTCAGGTTTGTCATCAAATTGCAAAAGACCTGTGCTAACTAGTTCTTTGCGAATTAGGTATTTTGCAAACTGTTGCATTTCACTTGATTCAGGTACGCAGTTGTTAAGGTTGGGGGTGTGCTTTGTGGAGTTGGACCAGTACGTGTCGACTACACCAGTGTTCACTGTTTGCTCCTGTTTCCTTTCTCTATTTACAGGTGGTGTTTTCGTCTGAGTGTTGGTTATAAAAGGATTAGTTATTTGTGTACTGTCTTGTGCATCTACTTCATTGCAATTTCCTTTAGGAGGCTGTGCTGAGTCGTGCTGAGTGTCTGGGTAGAGTAACTCACATTGTTGTTGAACATATTCGTTAGTGCGGTGCACTGTACTGATGGGCTCAGCTTCCTCACAAAGTTCTCTGTAGAGCTCCCCGCTCTGAATCTCTGCTTCTTCATAGGCTGAAGCCTCTGCTTCAGCTGCGGCTATTGCTTTTTGGCACTGGAGGACATGTAGATGAGCATCCAGTTCAGCTCTCTGTTTCATTGCATTAGCTTCCTTTTCAGCGAAGGCCAGTTGAGCTCGTGCTGCTTGAGCTTTGGCGTAGGCCCTTGCAGCTGCAGAAGCTGTTGATGAGGATGTCCGTTGAGAACGCCTTGTCGAGGTTCTGGATTGCTGCGACTTGGTGTCGAATGGTTGAGACCGTTGCTGCGTTGTAGCTGGTTGAGTGGCAACGTCTGGTTGCTGTTCACCACCGGCTGCTTCGTCTAGCTCTTCAGCAGCGTAGTCTTTTAGGTAATTTCTTCCTGAGCGTAGACTCATGTTGCTTAAAGTAGCTCTGTATGTTTGAACCCGCTGAGTAGGCGTCTTTTCCTTCGTCTTTTTACTATGCTGCCCTCACGACACGTGACCCTGTGAGGTTAGACAGCTAGCGAACAAATAGAAGAGGTCTTCCACACAAGGCTTGACTTTCTTGTTTTTATGTAACTAGAACATGAGGAAAAATGAAAATGAATCGCTGGTTAACACACATCTTAATAACAACTTGCCGATTAGCCTAGCTTAACATGTACATTACATCAGCATACAGTTCGCTCCATGTAAACACACATAACGACTGTCTCTACACATGTCAATACTCACAAAGACGAACGTTTTCCGAGGTGCGAACGTGTAGAGCACTCTTAGCGTGAACATGAACTAGTCCCTATTTAATAACTGCCGGAGCACTTTTTCACGACATCATAAGCGAAAGGGTACATCAAAGATAGGTTAGTGAACAGGACGCTCCCTCGCTCCATTTCCGCACATAGGATACAAAGATCTCTTGTGGAAATGATGTCTCACTCTGAGCTTATTTATCACTCTGCTTATGTGGCTCAATCAGCACACACACCAACCGCTGACTTTTGACTCAAGGGCATAACACTTATTAAAACACATATACATAGATTTTTTTAAAATGTATAACTTTTAATAATGACTTTTACACAAAGTCTTTTAAACTTTTAAAGCAACAAAAAAGTGAATCATATGGTCACCATGTGTATCTGTAACTATCTGTGTAACTTTCTTTGCAATTTGATTTTTTTGTATATTTGACTTACATATCATCTGGTTTTTCATGATCTGACTTGGTGCAGATAAAATGAATTTGCTGACACTCGCCACCATTTCCCAGCAGGCTGCTGACACCTTCCAGGATGTCCCAGGCTTCTCTTTCTGATGCTGCTCGAGTCATTTCAGTCACAATCCACACTGTAGAACAACTGGCAATAAGCTGAAAAGGAAATGAACGTATGTAAATTATAAATAACTAATGCTTTGAAGAAACATGACATGACTTCTGTGAATTACCTCTGTCCACATTTGATCTCTGCTTCTGTTAGAGTCACCGTTTCCAGGAAGGTCCATGAGTGTGACATGATCAAGAAAATCATTGTCTGGCACTTTGACAGTCACACACTTCACAAGTGGCCAGTACCACCTCTTTACTTCTTCTGTCTCATTTGACTCACTTCTTGTATATCTCACAAATTTTTCAGACAATCCTTCAGCCTGCAAAAACAAACAAACAAGATAAATACAAGCCAATTGAATGTGTGTGCCCATAACAAAGATTTTAATGATTGCATGAAAAAGAAGATGGGAAATTAAAATAAGACATCCTATCTCAAAAATCTGAAATGAAAACCAGGAAAATAAATCCAAAGTAATTCGATTTTTTTATTTAAAAAAGAAAGAAAAAGAAAGAAAAAAAGAAACCTTTTTCATATTTTACTGTGGATCACAGTAAGTGGCCTGGTTCTTATATAGTGATTTATTTTACTGCATGTAAACATTTGAAGCACTTTATAAAACTTGCCTCGTTACCCCAAGCACTTTTTTCTGGGTATGTTATTTCTAGCTAACATTTACACACATTCATTCACTGATGGATGCATCGAAGATCAACTGGGGGTTTGTAGATATTTGGCATGCAGACTTGAGGGAGCCAGGGATTAAACCACCAACCCTCCGATTAGTAGGTGACCTGCTCGACCTTCTGAGCAGGAGTTTTACAAATTTTAAACTCTTCAACACCACCACAAAGAAAACTGCAAGCTCCATGGTAACAGGATAATCAGACAGCAACAGGATAGTAAACCATAAAATTTTAACCACCACAATTTCACTTGTTTTTTTGTTTCTTGTTTGATGGATGTCAAACATTTTGGAAATGAGGCACATCGACATATCGCCGACATATATCTGCTCAGCAATAAACTACAGCAACATCTGCTTCACCAGTGCTTTGTCTCTGTCTGCACTCTCCATTAGGGTGGCATTACATAGCGTGGACATCTTCCTGCTGCAAAGGTGCAGCATCAGGGTAGCTTAACGCTGCTTGGGTAACTATTGACTGCTCATTATGTGATGTTCATAAGCCACACACTGCTATGTATCTCACCCAAACTGTGGTCTAATATATGCTTTAAACTGCAAGTATTCCTTTGTTCTAGAAGAAGAACCAGATTTTATTTTGGTCTGTATTACTGCACACTTACTGAGTCACTTTCCAAAATTTTTATCTTGGACATTTGAAACTCTGGAATATCTCTGAAATATTTGTTGTCCATGAGGCTGTGAGTTGATTTTTCTTTCCACTCTTCTCCATACAGCGCTGATAACGTTTCATCACGGTCAAGACAATCACCATTACCACCATCATCATCATCATCTTCTTCAAGAGCCAGTTTTAGGGACTGCACCTCATTTTCCCAATCCTACAAAAGATTATATCTTAATTTTAGTAAAGCAGTTTTTGTATCTACATTGTAACACATTACTTCAAGAATCACCATATTCATATTTCATTCTACCTTTTTTGTAATGAACTCGATGTGTGCCTCATACTTTGATCCATTGGTAGCCTCCACCTTTATCATTACTGAGGTACATGCACTGACACTTGCAGAAGGCAACAGGCCCTCCTTATTTATGATGGCATTGATTAAAGAACTCTTTCCAGCCCCGGTTCTACCAAAGACACCAACCAGGTGTCTCTTTTCTGTCTCCAAATCTTTGATTTTATCCCTGTTGAACGAGTTTAAATATGGATTAACTGACCCATTCTCAGAAATATCAAACTGAAAATGCAGTAAAATCAGAAAAAAATAGTTTTTTAAAATGTGTTGAAAAAATTCAACTTACTACTGGAACAAACTACACAGCTCCATGTTGAGCTCTGACCGAGTTTAAATCTTTAGTATGTTTATTATACCAAATACCAGCAAAATGTTACAGACTGTCCCAACTTCCTGGGAAATGGTTGGAAGAACATCCAACAAAAATAGAAAATCTTTATTACTCACTTTAGGAAAGCGCTGAGCTTGTCACGGCCATGTAGTCTTTGACTGACACGTCTCATTATGTCTTTGACATCAGACAGTATTTTTGTTTCTGTCAGAGAAACAGAAAAAAACCCTAATAAGTAGGAACCTGGAACCAGTGTAATGCAAATATGGTCCACTGATATGCAAATGTAACCCATGGTTATTTTATTGCCAATTGTATTCTATTTTTATTCTAATTTTAAGTGTTACTGTTTTGTTAAGTGTTGAGTTTTCCCATTTTCCCATGAATGCACCATAGCGCTGTGCGTGGTGACTTTCTTTCACTGCATCCGCCTGCATGGAGCTAGATGCGCAAAGCTGTGTGGAGATTCAGTCCTGCAACGTGTTGCGCTACAGAATTAATGTTTTCTTTGAAGAATATCCTGGCTGTTTTTTTTAAGTGGTAGAAATCTGCTGCAAGGACCGAGCGGTGCCATCTAAGGACTGGATGCCACTAGAGGTGCCTAGAAAGGACGTTCTCAATCTGAAGGCCACCTGTTTCCTTGGAGAGTGGTAGGATACAACGATTTGTAATTTTGTTTAAGGATTAACGTTTTTTAATGAGCTCTCAGGACACCTTATGTTGCTACTTTTTTCCTTTTTGGGTCAGATCTGATTCCACTTAACACAAAACCTGATGCACCAAAAAGCAAAACAGTGACTAAAGACAATTCAAATAACTTGAACGCTTACCACATACTGAATACAAAGTGCACTGAACTGAAATGGACAGCATGCCTGACACATTTATGGACACTTGAAGTGATATGTTGTACATTGTTGAAGATTACATGTTTGAAATTATTTAAAGGTTTGTTCATGTCTATGTTTTGAACCATTTAAATGTTGAATACACTCAAGTCACTTTTTTCCTTAAGTTGTTGTCAGTGTCTCATTCTGAGTGGAAGGTTTTTCCTTCTTTAAGTTGAGTTACCACTGCCAGTCTCCTTACGATCCTAACTGATCCCAACAAGAGGAGATTCTGAAATATTGTTTTTTCCTTGACCTTGGATGACAGATTACTGTGGATTTGACTGATTTTGACTACTCAGTTAAAAATGGTGACACAAAGCAGGAATAAGTGTGAGGATTTCATATATGTGTGTACCTGACTGTGATCCTGCTGCACAGTTGTCTTGTCGTTTAGGAGATGGTTGCCATTCGCCCAACTCAAGTTCTGACTTTCTTTTTCCTTTTTGGATTTAAACAAAATAATACAATTTAAAAAGAAAATCTGAATATTGAAACTTCTGATTATGGTGTATTTTAGATGTTGCAAAAATAATACTGTGAAAATAAATAAATAAATTAGATGTATTAAAATGAGAGTGAGATACATTTTTCTCACCTTTTTCACTTATGGATGGATAATCCTGTGGAAGCATATACATATTCAACTTTCACATGAAGTTAAATTATTATAAATTGTACATGTATGCATAATTGAATTTATAGAAGAAATCATTGCTCCTGTACAGAAACAATTTGTTCTTTAACAAACTGTCAAAAACTTTCACATGCACTTTTTAAAATGTACACACTTATATGTACATATATTCTCAGCTAGCACAGTGATTAAAAAAAAAAAGGAAAACTTTTGCATTCTTGCCTCTCAGTAAACATGATCCCATGAGTCAATGTTTCTGCCTAATTCAGCACCAGTGACACAGACCTAGAGACCAGTTGGTGACCACCCCATCCCTGGCAACCACCAGCTGTTAGGGTAAAATGTGTATTCCAACATCAGGCAACTACATCAGTTGTTTAGTGGTTGGTAGAGGTTGTAAGAACTTTAAGTCGCAGGGTGGTCTTAAGGCTTGTGTGACTGGGGCTTTGCTTTGACTCAGGTCACCTTAGCGTATATTTATGAAGAATGAAGGCATGCTGCTTCATTATCTGATTTCCAATAACCCTTACCTGATCCAAATCAGCTGTCGCTATCACTATGTAGCAGGGTGACACAATAGGACTTTCATGAATTTCCCCCATGCACATTAGTGGTGTGAGATACTGCTGGATTTGGTATTCCTTTTATACTAAGTAAATAAAGGCCCAGTATCAACGATTCTGATACAGATACTAATGCTTTTTAATAATTATGGTGGATGGTGGATCAAACTGCTAAATCAGAATGAATTTTCATGACCTGTAAGTGTTTGGGGGATTTTCTTTTCTTTGGATTATTAATTAAAACCAAGGACAGAAAACATATAATGAGAAGTCTGTATCACATCTACTTGTAGTTTAAATATAGTAACTGCACAGTATCCCTTTTACAGTTAACACAAAGGGGTTATGATATATTCGGGATATTTGTTTCAATTACAATAAATGTTATTATGACACTTGAAAGCAGCAGCACTTAGATGGCCAGGTTGCCTCTTTGATGATTCTAGGAGTAACAAAGAAACAGAAACCAGTATCCCAAAAAGTTTATTCTGTTAATCTGGACTGTTTTCAGTGGGAGAAACGTTTCATCGCTCATCCAAGTGACTTCTTCAGTCTCAGCTAACTGCAGGTTTCCCCAACCTTATAAACATTTGCACTTTATATAGTTGGGAAAACTTGGGATTTACTTACCTGGATGATTGAGCATGTAACAAGACAGAAACTAATATCAGTCTCATTATGCTCCTATCAATATCAAAACAAACTTTGGCATCTATATTTTGGTTTGATCCGCCCACCACCAGGGCCATGCAGAGATGTTTAAAGGGGCGGGTGCTCAAAGTTAAAAACAGGCACATAGAACCAGGCTGAACAACAACACACATTCTTTAAGAATCTAATACAGAATCGCATCATACTATATCACTGTTTTACCTGATGGGGTACAATGTTGCTGTTGAGGAGTTTCTGCTGATCCTGCTCCTGATAGTGCAGGAGGAACGGGCTGTGTTGAGCTGCGACTGGAGACTGTAAAAAGTCCATAGGAGAGATGGTAGCTGATTAAACAAGTGCTATGAGATAATAATAAAAAGATTGGTGAAAGTGCCATGTCAGCAACCATAAGGCAACAAAACTGTGAAAAACAAACTAGGCTCTGCCTATTAATCACTCTTTGCCTCTCTTCTTCCGCCCATCTCCTCATCTCATTTATCACTCTCCACTTGCTGTCCATCTGAGGCACAATTTACTATTGCAATAAACTATTATTTAATTATCCACACTTAAAAACCTCATCTATCTATTCTATAATAAAATTGTTTTTGACTTACTTGACCAGAAGTATTGACGGCTTCTTTTTGTGGTTGAGTTGTATTTTGCTCTTCCTAACATAATGAAAACATGGCAAATCCATATTGGCAAAATATGTGAATAATATAGCTATCATAGACACACTGATAGTTAAGTAGTTTATGCACCATAATAATTCTACAACAAATTCATCTGTAAACTTTAACACGAGTGAGGTTTTCCAGACAAAAAGGAAAGAAATCTTAAAGGATTTAATTACCTTTAACAGCTTTAGTTTATCCTTGAATTTTACTCTAGGTCCAGCTTTTGTGATCAATTGATCAATTTCCTGATCATTGAGAAGATACAGACTTTCCTTATCAATTTCTTGAGCTGTAATAAAGTTAAATAGCAGAAATAACGATTATTTATAAAATTACTTCAGAAACAGTTTTTTAAAGGAGTTCTGCATTGATGTATGATTTGAACACATTTAATTCCCTTTTATTTTAAGCAAGTATCACTTTCCAGTCTTAGGACATCTTCTCTTGCACATTTTGTGTAGTAAATATGAAAATGTGTATTAATAGGTATTATTTTTCAGAGTTAACAAAACGTATAAGTATCAATATCTGTACCCATCACTGATGCACAGTAATAATTTACCTTCAAATGCCTCAATCCAGTCACTTAGTTTCCATTCAGTCAGTTTGTTTCGCACAAAACCATCCATGACCAAGAATAGAAACTGAAAGAAATTGTAATTTCTGATCCTGTCAAGGTGAACGAGCAGACTCTAGCGCAGAACTAAGGTTTTAATTAAAGAGAGTTTATTTACAGTGACACCAGGCGCTATAAACAACAGTGCAGGGCAATTAGTGCTCCCGGGAATCCAGGGAAAAATGAACACGTCCAAAACTCCTCTTCTCAATCGCCAGTCCCTCACACGTCCTCTTTTGTACGATACATGACGTTCACATACGAATATCCTAACTCACGTCAAAGACAAGGGAAAATAGGGAAGCGTCCAGTAGGGTCTGTACACGGGAAGAGAACACAAGTTAGACATCCACAGAAACACGAGCGCCACGATCCAGCGACAAGTAACACAGAGCCGCCGCCCTGCGCAGCAGGTGAGTGGAATAATTGCAGGTGCGCAGGCCAAGAGCGTGGACCAATGACTGTAGAAAATGTGGGCGGCCTGACAGCTCCCCGTTATGCTGGCTGCATTGTAGATCATAAACCCCGCCTCCTCCGTGTTAACGGATGGCACTGGGGTCAGACCGACTAAAATGAAAGCCTTCTCCTCAGAAACCTTTTTTCTAGAGTTCCATCTGCTATTTTAAGTAGTTCTTATAACATTAATTTGGGTTTAGGGAGTCATTTTTCTCACAAATGTATTTTAATGATAACTAGATGCTGTAATGATAACACATTTATGCACTTAACATATAACTATAACATCTATGATGAATGTGGTTCAATTCAACACATGCGTTGAAGGCATTGACACATTGACTATATGTGTAAATGGCCCAGACGTGGTGCTGCAAAGTCAGATTTAGTCACTTTGCAAAACTGAAATACCAAAAACCTCCACCCCAGAGAGAAGGGTTACATCTCCTGGGTTTAGGTGTGGCTTGCCCCTCTGGGGGCGGGGGTACCTGGACCTGGGATATAGAGTATGTTTGGGGAGTGCAACTGTCTGTGCAGTGTCTATTTGTGTCTGTCTAAACGTTGGGTGAGTGCTGAGTATTTGGTTGTGCATATGGGGTGGGAATGCACGTTTGTGTTCTCGTGTGCCTGTTCGTCTGTGTCTATATGTCAGGTTGGGTCTTAGACTCAACCTCTCTGGGTACATCTCAGGCCCTCCAAAGTACGGAGGCCTATCTCCCCTCACCACACTCCCTGCCGGTGGCTGATGCCCTCAGACGTTGGTGTGTTGGTGGTCCTTGTCGACTGGGGCTGGGCGCTCATGTATGTACCGGCTCACTCCTGGTGGCTGATTGGCGGGGCCTGGCGCCTGTGGCCCGGCTGGGCCCCTTCCGGGGGATGGGATGCCCTCTGGCCTCTGGGCCTGAAGCTCGGTCCTCTCTGGCACAGTTGGCTGCCGGCAGAGCCCGCGGGCACGCCACTGCAACCCCCTCTGGCCTCTGCTCCATAGCTGCTGGGTGACCTCTCGTTTGGGGTTCTACTCAGCTCTTCCCAGGAGGGGAGCACGGTTCCCCCCTTTTGGTGGTCCTCCTCGGGTTCTTGTACTCTGGGGCCTCTGGATATCTGGGGCCTGGATCTCCTCCATACGTGCTTCATACCCTGGTGGACGGGGCTATGGCTCCCCACACTCCCTAGCAGATCTTTACCTTTGGAATACAAGCATGCTGATCCACACAGGTGTACACACGGGTGTTCACAGACGTGGACTACACCTTTCTTGGCTGCTGCCTCAAAGCACATTGTGCGCTGTCTATCTTACGTGCTGCACAATATCGTTTAATATTTAGTATCTACTGTTATCTACTGCTAGCTAGTTTATTGTGATGGTGCTGTTTTTTTTTTTATTATGTTGCTCTTTGTTGTTTGCGTTCTCTTCTGTTTTTTTTTCTCCATACAGGTGATCCAGGTGTTTTTATCTTTTTTTTTCTTTCTTCCCCCCCTTCTCACCGTCTCTTCTCCCCTTTGGTTTTCTTTCTCTCCCTCTCTTTCTTTCATTCTTTCTCCCTGTCCTATCCCCCAGTCATATTTGTCCCGTTTGTAGCAACCGAAAATAAAATAAATTCATAATTATAATAAAGGTCAATCAAATGGACCAATATGGCAAGGCCATGATGATCCACTTGGTAAAATAAATCCGCTTGGCATCTTTCTTGGCCTTAAGACAACAATTCTGATGGCTAAAGATCCAAACGGGACACAAAAAAAAAAAGAAAAAAAAAAGAAAGTAATACCAAAAACCGGCAAGCTGGTTCGCGGACAGATTACCAAACTGATCCATTTTTATGGAGAGTAATGTGCAATACCTGATGCCTTTTAGTGGTGAATGAGTTATTGAAATTATTTCCGATTGTTATAACATATATTCTAATTCAGACTAGATTTGAAATATATATTTGAAAGTAAACAGCTTTGACCAAACAATATAACTAAAATTTGATTTCAGGTACAAAAACACGACGAATTGTTCAGCCCTAGTTTTCATTATCAGTTAGTAAAAGTTATTCCTCAGTTGCCCATGGTTTACAGTCTGCTTAAACAAGATTGAATCATTAGCAGAAGAAATTTCTCTTGCCACTGCCTGCAATTTTTAAATCACTGAAATGAATAGTTTTATTGCACTTTTCTGTAAATAAGTAAAATAGATTTTTTTTGTACACCACCTTTATTGTTATATCTATAGTGTCAATTCGAGATTTCAAATTGTTCCTTAGAAGTTTTATGGTTTATTTTCTTGTCGAAATTAAAAATCAGAGTATGTTTTGCTCTCAAGAGTTTGCATTGTGAATGTTTGTGTAAATGTTTAGGAATTTAAAAAAACTAAACAAAATTTCAGTATTTGAAATTCAAAATGTTTATATACAATGTTATTGTTTAAATGTTAGGTTTTTTTTCTTGTTTTGCTAATGTATTTTAAAGATATGACAAAATAAAAACATTAAAAAAAAGAACAAGAAAAAGCGCATATTGTTTGGTCACAATTTTCTATCTGTTTTTTGTCCTGTCTCAGTTTGTCTTGATTGCCAAATATGTCTTGACCTGTGTTGCCACTCAGTGAAGCCTGCAATTGCATGAAAAAGTAATATGTTGAGGAAAGAGAAGTCACTACTGAGTCAATATGTATATAATTGGCTTTTCTTAAAATTGTAAATCTTAGAACTTACATGCAGCTTTTAGTCTTATTTACTGTCCTAGCATAAAGTGCCAAGTATTTAAGTCCTAATTTTGTTGATCGTAGACTGCAACTTTTTTTTAAATATATGAAAGGTGTATGTGAAATATTTTTGCATGTTGTCTTTAACAACATTCAATAAAACAGGGTATAATCAAAAGTACTGTTGTTTTTCCACATAGAGCATAAAAAACTGCAGAATTTGTGTCAGTAAGAACAAAAAGAGGGAAGAATTGTGACATCACTGAAAAATTTGATAGCTGGCCTGGCATAAAAACAAAATCAGCAAATGAGTTCAAAACAAAAACAATTGGACGACACGGACTCAGGCGCTGTCATTGTCCTGGGTGTGACCCAGTGTTTTGTGTTATTTGTAATCATTCCCAGTATTTAGTGTTCTCTGTGCCTCCCTTATGTTTGGTCTCTGTGCTTCTCAGTTGATCTGTCTCCCGTCAGTTGTAGCCCCAAGTCAAGGCCGCGTCACTGTGTTACGTTTCCTGTTTTACTTTGAAGGTCTGTGTCCTGCATGAATGTACTTCCCTTGGGTCTCATCATGTCTGATTTCACCAAGCTCTATTCCCCTATCTATGTCTCAGTCCCCTCGTTATTGCCCATTGTATTTAAGCCCTGTGTTTCTCTGTGTCAGGGTTGTGTGTGTGTGTGTGTGTGTGTGTGTGTGTGTGTGTGTGTGTGTGTGTGTGTGTGTGTGTGTGTCCCATCATGGCTATGTTTCTCTGCGTGTTTCCCCGTGAGTTTAGTTTATTCTTTTCCAGTTTAGTTTAGTTTTGTGTTGTATGCCATTTCCTTTGCCTGCAATAAAGCTGTAGTTTTTGAGTTCATCCCTCGTGTCCAGGAGTCTGCATTTTGGGTCCAACTCCTGCCTGCACAGCCAAATCTTGACAAGGACAGACTGGAATCACAAGTTAACTGTTCTTTTATTTACACAAAAACACCAGGTGCAGAATATATACAGGTGGGAGGGAAAGCCAGGGGTTCCAGTGGTCTGCGGGGTAGGGTCGGGGGAGAGAAACAAATCATTGTCACTCATTCTCTCCGCTTGAGAGATCCACACGCACGACACTCTTTCCACAGTTTGAGATGTCTAAGCACAGTTAGTTACATACACAAGCACACTAGAATTCACCAAGCTGGATTTACACTAATTTATCAAACTCAATAGTCCAGCAACAAGGAGATCAGAGCCACTGCCTTAAGTAGTGGCCAGAGAACAAGATGAATCACCAGTGTGTGCTTAGGAGCAGGTGCGTGGGCCAAAAGGGAAAGTTCGCAATGAGCTCCACCCAGGCAGAGTGATGAAAGAGAGGGGAGGGCGAGCACAACCAAAACAAAGGCTTGGAAAGAGGGCACACCGGGCTGGAGCATACAGGCTTGACTTGGGACACATGGAAAATATTGGAAATGCATATATTGCATTTTTGGTCTCCCAGAAGATGGCCCCGACCAGGTAGGAAGGTGCGAGAATGAGTCCGGGGTCTTCCTCCTCCTCTGTGGTGTTGAACTGCTGGGAGAGCGCATCCAGTTTCACGTTCCGTGATCCTGGTCTGTAGGTGAAAGAAAAGTCAAAACAGGTGAAAAACAAAGCCCACCAGGCCTGCCTGGAGTTGATACGTGTGAATGACCAAAAGTATTCCAAGTTTTTGTGGTCAGGCCATACAATGAATGGTTGTGCGGCCCTCTAGCCAGTGCCTCCATTCCTCCTATAAAAGTTTAATAGCCAACAGCTCCCAGTCCCCGATGTCATAATTATACGTTGTGGGGAGAATTGGCGAGAGAAAAAGGCACATAGGTGGAGCTTGTCATCCTTTTGTTGAGACAGGACCGCCCGCACCCCAGAGTTAGACGCATCCACCTCCACAATAAACTGCTGTAGGATGGGAGCTGTAGAAAACCTCTCTTTCAGCTGAGTGAAGGCTTGCTGAGCCGCTCTGTCCCACTGACATGGAACTTTTGGTGAGGTTAGTCTGGTGAGTGGAAGTGTGATCTTACTAAACTCTCTGATAAAATGCCGGTAAAAAAAAAGCTAAAGCTGCTGGTGATCGGAGGGTTCGGGCCACTACACCACTGCATGTACCTTTACTGGATCAGGTTTCAGATTCCCTTGCTCAATGATGTGACCCAAAAAAGCCACAGAGTTCACATGGAATTCACATTTCTCCCCCTTCACAAAAAACCTATTTTCCAAGAAGTGAGGGAGGATTTGCCTCACGTGAACCTGATGTTCAGCAACTGCCTTTGAAAAAA